GCTTGTTGAAGAGCAGCTATGAAGTCGGCGGCGGACTTGCCAGGATGTTGGTTTTGATGTTCGAAGACGAGCCGCCAGGCAATGACCAATAGCTTGGGCTCAAATGTTCTTTGAGCATCTTCTTAAGTTCTGAGTACGCAATGGACTAAAGCGGAGGTGGTGCAACAAGTTCTTGGCAATGTCAAATGTTGCCTGACCGCACACACACAGCAGCGTCGTGGCCTTTAGACCGTTGTCTCGAACTTGGTTAACCCGCAGGTAGTTTTCAACTCTCGCGACATAGGAGCTCCACCTCTCTGGATGAGCGATGTCGAATTCAGAGAGTTTTACGATCTTAGCCATGGTGAGTTTTTTGTGGGCCTCTCAATGCCTCGTGCTGCGCAGACTTCCGTGGGACTTCCAGGGCGGATCCTTCGAAGCACTCTCCTCCAGCATTTCCGTACTGGTAGGATAGAGTGAGGGGGGGAAAACACCGTTCCGACCAAGCATCTGCTAGGCCTAACCCCGTAGTGACTCAGCTCTTTGTGGTGAGGCAGCACAATCCCATCTTCGTCACCAGTGTTAGGTTTTCTGTTCGATGCGGCACTGAAGAGGCAGTAGGTGAAAAACAACTCTCTTTATTGTAAAGCCAAAACAGAAACTAACAACCAATGCTCCACCCATACTTATACACTCAGCCTAAAGGCAGCAGCCAACAGGAACACAGTATTATCCTGCTTAAATGCATAATAAGTAGTCTGCAGACAAAAAGTCTGGCTTGTTGGCCACATGGCCTGCTAACCGTTTTTTTCATAGTTCTCAGCATCTTAATTCTCAGACTTTAATTCAATACATTACATGAAGTACGGTTGCAGGAACTGGGTATTTCTAGTCTAGTGAAAAGAAGGACTAGGGGGGCAACATGATAGCAGTGTTCCAATATTTGAGAGGCTGCCACAAAGAAGAATGGGTGAATCTATTTTCCAAAGCACCAGAATGCAAGACAAGAAGCAATAGAGGGAAACTAATCACCAAGAGAAGCAACCTAGAACAAAGAAGAAATTTCCTGACAGTGAGAACAATTAACCAGTGGAACAGTTTGCCTTCAGAAGTTGTGGGTGCTCCATCACTGGAGGCTTTAAAAAAGAGACTGGACAGCCAGTTGTCTGAAATGGTATGGAGTTTTCTGCTTGAGCAGGGGACCCACCTCAATTTTACATCTTAAGAAGACAGAACTCTTGGAATGTCTCTTCCAATAGGGATCTTTATTAAGAGAAGCTGATTGTAGGCATGCTAGACAGGATCTGGGGAATCCTCTCCCACCATTCAATGTTTTAAAGTGTTTCCAAGCAGCCCCCACCCCACAGTTTTTCTGGGCGATTCAATCCATCAGTCTGCTCCGTTGGCACGATCACTCATCCTCTTTTCCTAGATCCCAGGCGTTGTATTTCCCACCCCCTTTTCCACACTGCCGGCAAAGGGGAGTGAGATGAAAGGCGATGGCCACATTGTTATGGTTAGTTCTCTTGATGAGAATCCACGAACGGTCACTTTGTAGTTAATGAAGGAAGTGAGAGTCATAACCCCCCCATGCTTACCCTCCTCCCTTTTTGTAGTATGACAGAATCCAGAATAGAGTAAGAATTGGTTTTTCATCAGAGTAGGTAGATAGAAATGAAATATAATTGGATTCTGACAATTACGTTATTTTCCAGCACCTGCAAACTGTTTAGTATCGTCTAAAGATCAACCAGATAAGGTTAAAATATCATATAAGGACAATGCTGATGATTATCAGCAGGAAGACTTTCCATTGCTGCTAGAGACTACAATTGATTTCCTAGGAACTTTTCTCCTCCATTTCCTAAAAAAAAACAAAACCCTGAATGCCATTTTTTGCATCACTTTCCTTAATCATATACACTTTGTCCAATATCTAGTTAAGATCCTATCTAGGATGGAAGGACTTACCAAGTGATTTATGCCTTCATCATTACTGCAATATGCCTGGCATGAGATTATCTTATCATTGAAAACTATTTTGAAAGTGTAATTGTTATAGAATAAGTAACGTATGTCCTGGTGAGTGACAGCCATGCAACATTTATATTGTGAAGATTGCAGTAGCTTCTAATTTTTGTAGGGGGGGTGCAACTTAAAATGTCTTCAGCACTGCAGGACCATTCTATTGAGATGAACTGACCAGTCCAATTAAGTTAATTGCTTGGTGAACACTTCTCTTGAGAAACTGAAATACTGGTAGTTTCTGGTGTGTCTATGGCAAATTAAATGTCTTCAAAGAAATAGAACTGGAACTGGAGAGAGATTGACATCCAAAGGGCCAACTCTGAATATTGAAATCTCTCCAGATGAAGGAGAGATTGCGAGGTAGCCTACTTTCACTGGACAAATGCTTCTTGTAAGTAAACTGCAGGAATGTAAGTTTTTGCAGTTCACTCAAGAGTTGAGTGGCTGGAAATCATAGGATTGATTCCATCTAGGCTCATAGGACAGTAAGCTCAGCTGAACTTCATTTCCTATGTTTTTGAAATTAATTATTCTACAGAAACAGAGAGCTTTTCTTGTATAGCAGGGTAAGACCCCTCTTGGTGAGTTTTATTTTTCTCTGGATTACGAAACTAAAAGAAGTATTAGAGATTAAAGAAATATTTGATAAAAACTTCTTAGATTCTTAACAAGGAGATGATTTAAGAAAATTTGAAATGGACAAGCAGATAGTTATTTTAAAAGATTATTTTAATGAAAGCTCAATGCAATAAATTGTAATTAAGTGAATTGGACCTCTGTGGTCCAATTTTTTGTTTTATTTTGTTTATTCTAAAGACTTTAGGTCAGAGGTCCCCAACCTTTTGGCACCAGGGACTGGTGCCATGGAGAAAGATTTTTCTGCAGAGGGGGTGTGGTTTTGAATACTGCCTGCATCCTGAGGATGGAGCTTTGCTTATTTGTGGGCCCGCTTGCTGACATGCTGCGGATCAGTGCCGGTCCACGAAGCGGGGGTTGGGGACCCCTGCTTTAGGTAATTGGTGAACTTTAAAAACAAATGATATTAGATTGGAGAAGGATACAGAGGCAGAAATAGATAATGTTTATGTAATAAATTCAAGATTTGCAAGAACAAGACATGTTGCAATGGATATTTTGGTGCATTTTGTGAAGGAAGAAGACAAGAGATTATATTTTATCACAGCATTTTAATACAACACAATTTCAGTGAGATTTTTATATGCACAAAGGTGGAAAGATCTGATGCTATCCACAATGGAGGAATGGATCATGAAGATGGAACTGAGGTGGACAAATTGACTTCTTTGATCAGAAATAGGATATTATCCTTTATTTATTTATTTATTTATTTATTTTGATTTATATCCCGCCCTTCTCCCAACGGGACTCAGGGCGGCTCACAACATATTTAAAAACATAGACATTTACAACCCCCACCAGATAAAACCAAATTAAACCAATATTTAAAGTTGTGCAGTTAAAATTATTCTTAAAAAACCCGATTTAAAATCCTCCCTAGGCCAGGCCCGCTTGCTGAAAAAGCCATGTCTTGAGGGTGCGGCGGAAAGTAAGGAGATCCGGAATCATCCGGATCTCGGGGGGTAGTTCGTTCCAGAGGGTGGGGGCACCCACAGAGAAGGCCCTCCCCCTGGGGGTCGCCAGCCGACATTGCTTGGCCGACGGCACCCTGAGGAGACCCACTCTGTGGGAGCGTACCGGTCTATGGGAGGGAATCTGTGGCAGAAGGCGGTCTCGGAGATAGCCAGGTCCAATGCCATGGAGCGCTTTAAAGGTGGTAACTAAGACCTTTGATCGCCATGATGTAAAAGAGATGTTGAGACTCTAGAAAGTGTACAGCAAAGAATGACCAGGATGATTAGGGGACTATAGGCTAAAACATATAAAGAATGATTGCTGGAATTGAGTATGTCTAGTTTAATGAAAAGAAGGACTTGGGATGACATGACAAGAGTGTTCCAATATCTAAGGAGTTGCCATAAAGAAGAGGGCAGTCAAACTATTCTCCAAAGCACCTGAAGGAAGGATAAGAAGCAATGGATGGAAACTAATCAAGGAGAGAAGCAACCTAGAACTACGGAGAAATTTCCTGATAGTTAGAACAATTAATCAGTGGAACGATTTTTCTCCAAAAGTTGTGGAGGGAGAGATTGGACAACCATTTGTCTGAAATAGTATAGGGTTTCCTACCTGAGCAGTTTGTTGGACCTCCAAGATCCCTTCTGTTATTCTGTTATCTATTTTTACTGCTGATTGGAAACCCTTTATAAACTTGCAGAAAAAAATGAAAAATTTATAGTTTTGGCAATTAGAAAAAAATAGATTATAGAAAAAATGAGAGTCAATCACCTATTCTCCAGGATTTTCCAGCTCTAATAGACAGAAGATTTGCCAAACTATCAATAAATTTCCCTAGAACTCTAGTTGCTATTTTAAATAAATCAAAAGCAGTGATATTTCCTGAAAATCTCTCAAGTTCAGTTTGGAGATCTTATTTCTTCAAGCAGGTCACCACAACTGATTAGAGGAATACTATATATTTACTCTTCTCAAGAAGATTGAGACAAGAATTGGGTGGTTTTGTTTCTTTTTTTTTTTTGTTGCCCTTTTGCCATCTTCATAAACTTGTAAACCATTTTCTTTTTGCTTTCTCTGTTTTCATTTTTTTAACATATCCAATACATTGTTGATTCAGTTTAGAATTGACAATTTATTAACATTTCAAAACAGTTTGAGATTAAAAGAACAGACTATATATTTAAAAACCATGAGAAATCTATTAAAAAGAAAAAGGAAAACTGCTATAATCTAAAAATTACAGAGGAATGATGTAAATCAACCCTATTTCTAAGTTTGTAAGGATTATTTGAGAAATGGATAAATCAGCAAAATGTAAATGTTGCATGTAAAGTATTATTTATTCCTTATGACAATGCACCCTACTATTAGAGATTTCTTTGCATTAACTGACATACCTTGGCTGATCTAGTGACAGCTCCAATCTCAGAATAAAGATCTGTGCTATCTGGAAATGTTTCCACCACTATTGTGCATACATGATGAAGCAGAGATTGTTTATGGACTGTGTCTTTGACTTCAGGCACTTTCTCAAGGTAACTTAGTTCAAAGGCTTTAGTCTGTGTGGAGAAATGAAAAAAAAAGAATAAATTATTTGACATCATAGAGTCATAGACTGGAAGGAATATTGGAGAACTTTTAGTCCACTCTCCTGCTCAAAGTAAGAATATAGTATCCTGGACGAATGGATGTCCAGTCTTTTTTTTTTTTAAAACCTCTATTGATGGAGCACCCACAACTCCAAAAAGCAAGCTGTTCCATTGGTTAATTTTTCCCTAGCTTCCATCCATTGCTTCTTGTCCTACCTTCAGGTGTTTTACAGAAGAGGACCTCCTCTTCTCTGTGACAGCCCCTCAAGTACAGGAAGACAGTTATCAAATCATCCCTAATCTTTGTTAGGCTAGATATACCCAGTTCCATTAACTGTTCATTGAATTTTGGATTTCTTACTATCTTCGATGCTCTTCTCTGCACTTTTTCTAGGGTCTCAGCATCTTTTTTCTCTCATGCGAACAGAACTGAACACAATATTCTAAATGTTGCCTCACTACTGCAATTTAAAACAGTATTATAATTTCTTGTGATCTTGCTGCTATCCCTCTGTTGATGCAGCCTATGACTATACTGGCTTTTTTGGTAGTTGCAGCACACTACTGGCTCATACTTAAGTGGTTCTGCACTAGGAAACCTAGATCCCTCTCATCGTTAATAATGTTGAACCAGACCCCACCTATTCTATATCCATGCATTTGGTTTTTCCTGCCTAAAAGCAAAACCTTACTTTTCTTACTGCTGAACCTCATCTTACTGGATAGGGCTCACGTCTTAGTCTATCAAAATCCATCTGAATCTTGAGTTATCTTCCAAAGTGTTAGCAATTCCCCCCAGCTTGGTGTCATTTGCAAATCTGATGAACTCCCCTTCGACTCCCTCATCTAGATACTGAAGAGCACTGGGCCTAAGACAGAACCTTGAGGTACCCACTGCTTGCTTCTCTCCTGGTAGATGTGATTCCATTGAATATTACATGTTGAATGCAGTGGGTCAGCCATCAGATGATGGTATTGTCTATCCCAAAATATTCCTTCTTACCAAATAGTAGGCTGTGGTCTACTTTGTCAAATGCCTTAATAAAGTCCGAGTAAACTATATCCATAGCAATTCCTTGATTCAGTTAATTTAGTTACAGAGAAGGCAATAAAGTTTGGAATCACCTGTTTTTAACAAAGCATGAGACTTCTAATGTATGCCCTGTTCATTTCTAGATACTCACAAATCCATTGCTTGATCTTCTTTTTCAGGATTTTCCCAGGTATTGATGTCAACCTAATTAGTCTGTAATTTTCTGGATCCATTTTTTTTGGCTTCTTGAAGACTGGATTGCTTCTGCTTTTTTCCAGTCCTCTGGCACTTCCCCATGCTTCAGAAGCTATGAAAAAATTTGTTCAGCGGTTCTGAGATCGCATCTGCCAACTCCTTCAGAACCCTGGAATGTAAATCATCTGGTTCTGGGAATTTGAACTCATCTAAAATGAATAGGTTGTCTTTTACCAATTTCTTGCCTATTTTGACTTGCTTTCTTTTTCTGTCTCCCATAGTACTGCTTTTGATAGTTGGATTATCTTTTCCCTTTGCATGAAAACAGAGGCAAGCAAGGAATTCAGAAGTTGTGCTTGCTATCTACTCCCATTAGTGGACTAATCGTTTTCTTGACTTTCATCTTATTCATTACATATTGAAACTTTGTTATTTTTGGCTTTTTTTGCGAGTTTTAGTTCATTCTGAACCTTAATGTTCCTTGCAGATTCAGGCAATTGGTTGATGTTCTGTTCTAGTTATGAGTCCCTCTTTCCAGTTTTAAACTTGTCCTTTTCATCCCCTCAGTTTGTCAGAGAGATCTTTATGCAACCATGCTGGTGTCATCTGGGGTCGATTTTTTCTTTCTTTCTCCATGTTACATGTTTGATCAGGCTTTAATAATCTAATTTTTAGAGTTTCCCAAGCATCTTGAGTTGTTTTTCTATTTTGGATTTCCACAGAATCCTTCTTAATCTCTCTCTTAGTTTGTTGAAATCAGCTCTCTTGAAGTCTAGAACACTAGTTTAACTTTGTTTAATTGCCTGTTCTTACAATGAATCCTAGTATGACATAGTCATTCTCCCACAAAGTTCCCACACTTTTGATCCATTCTATCATTTCATCCCTATTAGTAAGAATTAAGTCCTGTATAGCTGACTCTCTACTTCCTTTCTCTACCTTTTGAGGTACAAAGTTGTCAGGCATATCACAAACCTGTTTGATCTCTCACTTGCTATAGAGTTTGTCTCCCAGTTTATGTCAGGGAAGTTAAAATCTCCCATTACTACAGTGGTGTGTTTCCTGCACATCTTATTTAACTGACTAGCAAAATTTTCATCTATTTCCCCTGGCTAGTTGGGTGGCTTGCTGTATACACCTACAGCAGTGTCATTTCTTTTTCCTCTAATCTTTACCCAAATGCATTCAGGAAAGCTTTCATCCTTGTTATTGTATATTTCTGTAGAGGTGTAGTGATTCCTTACGTATAATGCAACTCCACTTCCTCTTTTGTTAGTCTGTTTCTTTTGAACAATTTATATCTTTCTAGCAATATGTTCTAATCACGAGTTTTATCCCACCAAGTTTCGGTACTGCACATTATCACACCTACTTTCATGTACTAGGATTTCAAGTCCTCCCTGTTTGTTCCCCAAACTCTGAGCATTAGGCTCTTTATGGCCTGTTTCATAGTTGAGTAGTCCTTTCTTCTGACGATTACCTTCCTCATTGTCTGATTTGTTGTCATAGGGTTTATGCCTGAAGTTTGATTGTAAATATTAGCAAATAATATTTAGTATATTTAAATAGTGGCATTTAATTTGGAGTGACTTTAACAAGGAATATCATCTTAACTATTGATCATTAATTATAGTAAAAATCAAGCTAAATGATTATTCTGGACCACATAAGATCCAGAATAAAATTGTACATAGTTTCTGTATTACCCATAATGCAATTTGAAAAATAGTTTTTCCCCTTTTGTGATTTTGTACTGTTTGTTATGAAACTTTTCACTGCTGTTCAAAAAATGTATTTTAATGAAGTTTTGGTCCTTTCCAATCATCATCTTTCCATCCCCAGTTAAGAGCAAAGAAAATGTTATAACTCTGAATGCAGTATTTATATTTTTTTTAAAAATGGGATAGATAGGATAAAAAATATTATCAAAAGTTTAATAAATTTTGGCCATCAAGTATAATTTATTTTTCAAAAGTTACAGAATATCAATAAACAAGGAATGTCTTGTTAATTTAACCATATAGTGAGGACCATACATTCTATTTCAAATATTAATAAAAAATGAAAAAAATGATAAGTTGCAATCTTGAAGCACCTATAAACCTTTTGTGGTTTAAGGATCAATAATTCTTTAACTTTTTTTAAAATGGAACAGAATAGTCCATCTATTTATATTTCTTAGCTGGCCTAGAAGGATACATAGTCATGGCACTAAAAAAGGCAGCCAAAATCCACCAGGACTAGGAAATTTGCAATTCAACTATTGCAATCCCAACAAGGATATGAACAAGTTGATTTTGCAGTTCATCCCATTCCTAGGCCTGAATCCTGACTGAAAATAGATTACATAAATTTGTTTCATTAAAGAATTTCAATATTTGCAAATTTATAATCTTCTGAAGTTTTCTCTAAAGAATGGAAAAATCAGAGATTGGTTGATAACCACCCAAAACAGCTGGATTCAGGTATGGGTTTTTATGGAGGAGATGCACTACTATCGTTTTCAAGGACAGAGGGAAAAAACCCTTACTCAAGGAGGTTTTCACCTCTGCCTTCATTCTTCTTCCTGCCACCTTCTATAGCTTTCATCAACCAAGTAAGTTAGGATATAACCACCTAGAAGTGAGTTATCAAATTCTTTCAAGACAAACTGGTCCCAAATAACTTCACAAGACAAATCTGCTACCATCTCAGCTGGACTTGGAAAACCAACTCTGAGCAATGATTATCCTTCTGGTTTATTTGTTTCATTATTGAAATAAATAATAAACCACTTACTTTTCTAATTACTTAGAAAAATTATATTTCCATACAACTCAAACATGACTTCAGCTGCTACTTCTGCCATGAGGGTAGTGAGGACCTCATGCATCAGTGTGGGTGTCTTAGTCAGCATAGAGTCCAGGATTTTGCCGTCTACGCCAATATGTGCTCCCACGCTCCTCCCATATGAGATGCATGGGGAGGATTGAATGTCCAAACACAATTTTGGGCCTTTAGGTATTTGTCAATGTCTGAATCGGGACGAATGTCTTCATCAATCTGCAGTTCCTTGCACTCCCCTACAAAGTTAGTTCCACGGTTGGATCTAAACACCTTAACTGGGCCTCTGTAGGCTTGGAATCTTCTTAGAGCATTGATGAAACAAGAAGTGTCCATAGATTCGATGACCTCAATGTGGACAGTTCAAATGCTGAGACACATGAAAAGTATGGCCCAAAGTTTGCTGTTGGTTTGACCGCCTCTGATCCGATGAGCAGACACAGACCATAGCCCGAATACATCTAGGCCTATGTTGGTAAATGGTGGTCCTGGAATGAGGCGCTCGGGTGGCAGGTCAGCCATCAACTGGTGTTGCATTGCACCTCATTGTTTATGATAATGCAGAAATCTGTACAAGATGGTGGGAATGCATCTTTTGGCTCCCACGATCCAGAAGCCAGCTGCTCTGATGGCACCTTCTGTGAAGTGCCTGCCTTGATGATGGACAGTTTCATGGTAGTATTGAACTAACAGGTTTGTGACATGTTGACGGGCCGGAAGGATGATAGAGTGCTTGAAGTCTGAAGCTATCTCAGCCTTGTCTAGACATCCTCCTACTCGGAGCAAGTTATGACTATCCAAGAATGGGTTCAATTTCAGCAGTGAACTAGACTTTGGGATAGCCTTTTAAGCTTCCAGACATTCAAATTCCAGTGGGTATGCGTCTTGCTGCACACTTCGAAGAATCCCTCTCTCGGCC